CCTGAGTCTGACTCCCCCTGGCTGGACTACCAGTTCCAGTCCAATTAAATTTAAGACACAGGGAAAGGTTGTACCCTCTCTCCACACATGTTCCTTCTTTCCCTACAAGGAGTGAGGATGAATCTGGGCAGACTCCGGGCCCTGATGAGGACGTTTCTTTCCCAGGGTACAGGGTCTCACTGAGTCCTGGATGCTGCACACACGGGGGCGGGGCCTCTCTCTCCAGCCCTGTCACCCTCTGTTTGGGGGTAGAAAATTAGTAAGCTGAGCCTCTGCTGGGCACAGCTGTCCTCTGCTCCTGGCCTCCATGGTTTGGGAGACCCAGACAGGGTCTGATATAGACAACACCAGCCTTTTCCAGGGGCCCCCACCTCTCTCCTCTGTCCCTCAGCAGCAGGCCGACTAGGGCCCCGCTGTGCTGGGTATGGGCAGACATGTGCCTGTTGTCCCTGAGTCTGCTGAGAGTCACCAAGATCACCACATGCATGAGCGGTGGATAGCAGTTGGCTGGGTGGGAGGTCCACCAGGGCCAGTCTCCTGGGTAGACACTCCCACACTGGGGCGGCCCTGGCCAAAGGGAAGGAGACAAACCTGTGGGGCCAGAGAAAGCTGAGCAGGCACCCCGTTCTGCCAACAGCAGTGGTTTCTGAGTGGTCAGGAGGCCTCTGTGCAGAAAGCAAAACTTTTTGATGCAGAAAGCAACCTCAGACCCACCTGGGGGAGGACCTGGACGAGACCACCTTCAGAAGCAGGTTGACCCTAACAGTCCTCCTGGCCTGATGTGAAGGACAGAAGGGAGTGCCTGGGACATTTTCCATGCAGCAAGGACCAATGACAATGGGGACTGTTCCTGTTCTCTGGGAAGTTGCCCCAGCTACGGTGCCCGGAACCTAGAAAGCAGGAGAGGCAGCAACTGAGGAGGCACATGGAGCAGAGGACTCAGAAAGGGAACAGGCTTTCTTGGCTTCACCAGGAGCAGCTTCCAATCAGACGTCAGTAGTGGGCTGAGTCTCCAGCCTGGGAGACCCTGTGGGGACAGGGGTTTGTCCCTGAGATGAGGCAGAGTCCGGACCTGAGAAGTCACCAGCAGGAAGAGGTGGCAGCAGCAGCAACAGCAGCCACTGGGCTGAGGATGGAGACCTGAGGCATCTCAGTGGAGGTAGGAATGGAGAGGGTGGCACCTGGACCTACAGGGGAACTCTCAGGCCCCACACCAGTGTCCCCTTCTGGAAGGTGGCCTACTAACCAGCAGGACTCCTGGTCCCCATGAGCACCCTTCTTTCTGGGGAGACTCTGAGGCTGGGAGTTCTGTGAAAGGTGAGTCTGTTCCCTGGTGGGTCTCCCTGGGTTCATCTGGCTGGAGAGGGTTGGACTTGGTGCTCCTTCAAGCTCAAGGTCACAGGGAGAGCAGTCTGTGGGGTGTGGACTGACTGTGCATTTGTGTGTTCATGGGCTTGTGCAGTTGATTGTAGCAGCCTGAGGCCTTGTGGATAAATCCAACCCTAGGGTTCAGATTTAGGGGTTATCTGGCACACATCGAAGCTGGAACCCCTGATCCACCTTTTCCCAGGAAGACATTTGTGTGTTGATCTTCATCTCTCTCATCTTTGTGCCTTCAGTTGGTTGGGAACTTATGTTTGGTGACTTGGGGAGAGTTTATAAATAAAATTTGAGGTTTCTCTGTGATGGTCCTTTTTTCTGAGATTACCCTCTTCCCCCACTAAAAACTCTGGCTGCCTGACTTTGCTGACTGTGAGGAAAGTGGCTTCCTACCAAAGGATTGACCCCCACACAAGCCTGTGGCTGCTCTCAGAGCCCGGTGATAGTAACCTGGAAACATCAAGTGTGGGCTGCATGTGAGATTTGACTTCTCTGCAGAATTGTCCTGTCTTTGTTCATTCTTCCAACATTTTAAGCATTGTTTCCTCATTATATTTTTAATGATTTAATTTGTTTTTAGAGAGAGGGGAAGAGAAGGAGAGAGAGGGAGAGAAATATCACTGTGTGGTTGCCTCTTATGTGCCCCTGACTAGGGAACTGGCCTGAAACCCTGGCATGTGCCCTAACTGGGATTTGAACAGATGACCCTTTGGTCACAGGCCAGCACTCAGTCCACTGGGCCAACAAGCCAAGGTTGTTCTCCGATTATTGCCTAGAGTTTCTAGCTGTTTTCTTCAATTGGCTGGGTTAGTAGGAAGTCACTCCTACAGATCAGAAGCAGAAGTCTCATCCCTACTCATAAGCAGCAGACCACCCTGCACAGTCCCAGGCCCAGCCTTCTTCTGACTTCTGGAGAAGCCCAGTGGGTCCAGTGCCTCTGAGCCCCTGCGCACCGAGGAAGGGAGTGGAGTGTGGAGCATCAGAGGCACATATTTGTTAGGCGACCCACAAGCCAGGGTAGATACACTTTGTACTTCTGTACATGGGAGCAGAAACACATGCCCATTAGAGTGGGCTCCTTTATAAATAAGATAACACAGCAAACAATATGGCTGCAGCAAAAACAGGGTTTATCCTAACATTTCAGTTGGAGGTAATACTTTACAAGCCACCTAGAATGATGAGGAATGTATGTTGTTGCCAAGAAGACTAAGAATATTTGCTTTTTGGTAAAGGAAGAGATTGAATGATGGTATCAAATCTGTTTTTTTTAATGGTTTATTTATGCAGTCCCTGAACTCTGATGTGGGCCCTTGTGAAGCCTTGCTGGGAGATCTCCCCCCTCCCCACTGTGCACAGAGACCATTGGAGAATATCGGGTCTCCTCAACAAAGGGCACTTCTGTCCAGCAAAGCAGAGCAGTGTGTGAGCTGACGCTGAGAGGGGCCTCTCTGGGATGGCCTCAGGAGCTGTAGATCCCTCCACAACCCCACGTTCTCCAGGTAAGACCACAGCTGAGCTCCCCAGCAAACAGCCCACATCTGAGAGTAGGTAAACGGGACAGACAAGTATGACAACTTAGTGGCCTTCCTTGTTGTTGGCTGTCCAGTGGGGTGGGGTAGACACTCTCCCTTCTAGCATGATGACAAATTCAGCCCTTTTCTCTATAACACAGGGAAACTGGGCCACAGACATGCTGTTCCATTGAAAAAGTGCCAGGGTCTGTGGTCCCTATGACTGGCCTGGGACTGTCCTGTTTGTCCTCTTAGACAGCATGGGCCACTCTGCAGTATTCTTGGTGTTGTCCTCAGTCAGCCACGGTCCCCATGCCTATCTGTCCACCTGCCCTCTCTTCCAAAGACACAGATTTCACTGGCTGCATGGATCGAGTGGACTCAGTGTTAGGTGGACCTTACCTTACCTTCAGAAGTGTACTCTAACAGGTGGTGTTTTGGGTCCCCAAATGTGAACTGAGATATTGTATTAATAACCCTTAAAATTTCTATATATTTTCTTTGTTTTGAATATGGTGGCTTGAATGAATGGCCATAGGCCCCTTTGGTGAAGAACTCAGGGAATTACTACTGTGTACATTTGCATCCTCCTTTCTGATAAAAACTGCCCTCATTTCCAACAATAGCTTCTGGAGCAAGGATTGGCTGAGGTCTGGAAAGGAGGCAAGGAATGTTGTCTTTTCTTTCAGGTAGCACCTGAACCATCTGACCATCTTTTAAAAATATATTTTTGTGAAATATATGAAGCAATATCCTATTGGCTGCTCTGTCTTGCCTGTGAGAATACCATCTTCTGTGAGCTATTTCCTTAGACATCTATGGGTCATGGTCCCTGGTTGTCATTCTAAGCTTGCTGCTCATTACGGAGATTACTCATCTTTCTCTGATAAGTTAGTACTGCCACATAGCTTAAATTACTCTGGAATCCTATCATTTCCTTTGCTCTGAGGGAATCCAGCTCTGTACATGATTCCTACATTATTCCAGCCTACAGAGGACAGTCCCACCTGAGCATCTTAAGGATGCAGGTGCCCTATTAAGAGTGCATTCCTTATGCTCACTAAGGTGGTGTTTCTGAGGCCTCCTGAGGACACAGTCACCTGAAGGATGGGGTTTTCAGTTGCAGAGAGTAGAGCCCTGCCATCTTCCTAAGGGTTTTGAGTGCCCCAACTCCATTTTGTTGGCCCTGGCAAATCTAGTATTTCTTCTTTCACTGTATCTAGTGTGCACTGTGCTTTATAGCAGCCACTAAGAATCACCAAGAATCATTGCCTTTGGAACTGGTCAGGCTAATTAATCTCTGTGGCCCAGGAGAGTGTACCTGTATCAGTAGCCTCCACTGCCCATCAGTGGTACCTTGTAACATTGCTTTTCCAGGATCCAGGCCCACACAAATCTCCTAGTCCTGCAGCTCTGCTGAATTGTTCAGCTAGCAGTCTTATCTCTTATATTCCTAGTTTTGTTATGCTGAGAGAACAGTGTATAGTCTTAAATGGGAGGTAAGACAGGGTTCTCTACCAAGAGGGACAAGGGACCATTTTGCAAGTCTGTGGGATAAGAGGGATCTATAGTTCAGAGTTCAGGTGCATCTACCTAGAAAACCACATTCTGAATTTCAGGGCCTCATGTTTTCTTTATCAGGTCCTTGACTCTGACTCAAGAGGCCACACTGAGCTTAGAATTCAGTCTTCAGTGAAGTTCTATCATTCTTAAACTTAGGGGCTATACTAGGCCTTCCTTACTGCCTGTTTTCTAGCTGTAGGTAATGATAAATATATTTAGGCCTGTCATGTACTCAATATTTAAGTCATTAGTGGTGTTTAGAAATAGCCATCAAATTATACAGTTCTTATGGTTACTATTTCTCCTTTTGTGAATGCTAGACAATTGTATCAGGTAGTATACATCTTCCCCTTTATCACATTCAGTTTCTGAAGGTGAATGTTTTTGGAACCACACTGCTTGAGCACCCCAGGTACTATCTACATTCTGCCTGGAATCTTCTGGCTAAACAGTGTCGCAACTCAGTACTCTATGCCTAAGGGTTGGCTTGCTAAAACCATTATGTTAAGGTGGGCTCCAAAAAGAAAAGCCTGAGATAAAGTGTCTTGAATACGTGATTTATTGTGAGGATTCTCTCAGAAGGAGGAGTATAAGGGATGCAGGATACCATGGAGGAGAAAGCTAAGCAAGGATATGGTCATAGCTGGACAACAGTTGTAGCCTCGGTCCCTGGAGGACATGGAGTCACTGAACATAGTTGGTTCAACCTTGGGGTGGGAACCACCCCCTAGGCCACAGAGATATAACATTCAGGTGAATCTGGCTCCATTTGGCCCAAAGCAATACATTGGGGAGAGGTGGCATCAGCAGCCAACCTCATAGCAGCAGGGGGATAAGAAATGTGCCAGAAAGCAGTGTGATGTTTCAGGGTGCCAACAGCATGCACTGCACCAGTGCACTGTTCTAATTTGTTTCCCAAATAGCGAAGACCTTTTTGAAATTCTCCATAAATTCTTCCTGGTTTAAGTGTAATTTCTCACGCTACAAGAAAAAGCAGACAAAAATAATGATACTCATTTACATTGTCATTAGACATCTTGCAATTGACAATGATCAGAACTCTTAACCAGGTTAAGTTTAAAAACACACACAGCTAAGAGTAACTTGTTTCCTAACAGCATGATTACTTCTTGATGACCAGACAGAAATGGGAAATCATTACTACTCTTGAGGGCTCTTACTCCTTATGTTTGGGTTGTCTCTTTCAGTGAGAGTTAGAAAAGTAACCTAAGATCTCAGAAACAATCAAACATCACAGATGTCTAAGTACAACCAGTGATTTTCCTTTCATGTTGACACTTCTATTCCCCTTTAGTCACCCTGGTTAGCTATATGGGGAATAACTTGCAAAAGACTCTGCATTTTGGGACTTCTGAGAGGTCTCATTAAGTATAAATGGGGAGAGGTAAGAGGAATAATGTGACTTCAGGATACAGTCCCCTTTGTAGGTGTGGAGGGAGAAGGATGTGATTGTTTTCAAAGGGCACCTGTTGCCTTTACTGAAGCTCTCAAGGGGTTCTGGAAGCAGGCACACCTTCTCACTCATAGTTCCTCTCCTTGGTGAGCTGAAATCCTTAATGTAAAAGCCCACTCACTTCCTGAACTCTTGCTCATACTGGCTGATTCTAAAATCTGAGGGAAACTCTAAAAGATCCCCAGCACCAGGAAATGAGAGCAGAGAGACTCATGGAAAGAAAATGCAATGAATGCATGGGAGCCACTTACCCTGGGGTCCTGAAAAAATTTGTTCATGGCCTCCAGAAAATCTTGCACTTTGCAGTAATTGTCCTTGATTAGTTTCTTCTTGATTATGTCCAACTTCCTAAGTTTCCCTAGGTATTGAGAAGCCTTTGTAACCTGGTGAAAAATATATCAATAGCAATCAAATGGAGAGTTTTGACAGAGTTCAATGCCTTCTGTGGATTCCCATCCAATCCAGCAGAAATCCAAGGTGACAATAAAGTAGCTCATGCTCTCCCTCCCAGCGGCTTCAGAGCATAAATCCCACAAGTGCCCGTGTCAAGGTCAGGTACTATCATGGTGGTCTGTATTGATGTTTCTTTGTTGTTACTCACATAATTTCCATGTGGAATATTTGGGAAAATGTTGCTCTCTAAATGGTGATAGACCTTTAAGAGCAGGAACTCACATTTCTGCAAAAGAAGGCAGCAGTGAATGAAAAACAGCTTGGAGAGAATGCGCCCAGAGGCATGCCCTGAGAGACGCAAGCCCAATCAGTCTTCTGGAAGTTTCCCCACACTGGTATTGCTCTTGGACACTAACAGGTAATGACTATTTTTTTTTCCTGCATATAGTTTCTGGTGAGTTTTCAGTGTGGCTCAGACACATTCAGAAGAGGAGGCATCGTTTGACACCCTCCCCCTCATCCTGTGACTGACTGACTTCTTACATGTGAGCACAACAGAAAAGGCTTGGGGTCACACTCAACTCACCACCTTCCTCCCAGGATCCATCTGCTTCACCAGGACCTCAGATTCCGTATAAAACTGCAGACTTTGTGAAGAATTTTCTACTGTGCAGAAGGTACAATTCCAACCATTCCTGAGATGTCAGATATAAGTGAGAAAGGGCAAAGCCCAGAAAGCACCACCATCACTACAGCTGCCACTGTTCTCTTTAAGGAACAGCCAGTAGGCACAGACTGGGGGTGAAGGGGACATCTTCAGGGGTACCCAGAATTCTCATGTGATACCCATAGAGGGTAACCATAGAGCATGAGTGGGTGGAAGGCTGAGTCAGGGTGGGTAGTGGGCTTTCTCCTATTTTTGTCTGAGCTGCTGGGAGCACAGGGAGCCCTGACCATCAACCTGAGCACCAGAGACTGGACCTTAACCCATGGGGACCTTAGGCCTTCATCATCCAGTTGGAATGTAGTGAAATGAGGAAACCAGGCATGTTTTCCTCCTTTTCTGAATAAGCCCAGAATACAAACAATTGGCACTACCACTCCCATGAAAAGGTGTCTGTGCTGGGAAAGTTCTGGAAAGGACAGTAGCAGTGTGTTGGCAAAGGACCCAGTCCCTAGTCCCTGCTCCCCAAGGAGAGAAGAGAACAATACCCTCTTGTTGCCCTGCTTGTTTCAACAGCTCCCAGGATCATACTGCTGGACCCTGTACCTCCAGCCCCACTCTGTCCCCATCAGGAAACAAGGAGGAACCTCACAGGGGGAGTGTGCATGGCGGGAGGATTGGTCTCTAAAAGGAGACAGGGGGCTGCATCTCACAAACCTCTTTGTGTCCACAGGTGGGAGGTGACAGTCCCCATGAAAGAAGCTCTGACAATTTTCACAGTAGAAGAGCTTTCCTCCATCCTGGCAGATATTGCATTTGTCTGAGTTTTCCTCCTAGAAGGTGAAATAAGGTCCACATTCCCATGGGCCCCTGACGACAAGCACTGTGGGAATCTAGGACTCATGGTCTTTGTGTGAGCCTGCAGGGACTCTCATGTGTTTCTGGGAGCTGTGAAGGGGCAGCATGGAGTGGAGGTGTCAGAAGCGGAAGTCTTGGTCTGCTGTGAAGTTCAGAAGGAGGGGCCTGTGTGACCAGACTGGAGAAGCTTTTTCCAATAAAATCAGAGATCCAAAACAAAAAGAAAAAAAGCAAACAAAATATAACCAGAGACATTGAAATTAAGAACATAGCCAGAGGGGACAGGGGAGGGGACAGTGGGGGGAAGGGTTTTCAAGCACTACTATAAAGGACACATGAACAAAACCAAGGGGGAGGGTGGAAGCAAAGGGACAGAAATGGGTTTGGCTGGGTGGGGGGAAAATGCAGACAACTGTAATTGAACAGCAATAAAATAATTAAGCAAAACAAAACAAAACAAAAACCCAGAGATCCTAACACAGAAAGACAGGCAACAAAACAAGAGGATGATTTCATGGAAATCTGAATCATCTTATTACCTTACAGAACAATCAAGTTTCTGAAACAAAGTGATAAATCCTTATGCCTACACACAATGCCTGAACTGAATCATGGAAAGGTGGTATGTTGGGATATCAATAAGGTGGAATAAATGTCCCGTTTTCTTGGCTGTAGGCTCCCCCTGAGTTGAAGGGCCTGGTGGGGGTTTCTGCACTATGGATTGTGGGCCTGGAGGGCCTCTGGCCCTGTGACAGTGCCTTTGGGTGGAAAGGTCATGGACACAAATGACCATGTCTTGCCAGGGAAGATGGAGCTCTTTGATTCTGGAAGCCCGAGGAAGATGCCCCGTGACTCAGCGTGGCATGTATGATATGGAGCCTCCATCTCTGAGTGTCCAGGGAGTGGGGCAAGTGCTTTGTGCTGTAAACAGAGTGGGGAGCTCTCTCCCAACCCATGCACAATCAACTGAACCTGGATTTCTTACCAGTCTCAATATGTGTCTTTCAACCAGATTGAATGTCACTTGGAGAAGATAAAATTTGATAATATTTTCATCCAGAATTTGTCCATTATTCATTAAAACCTAATAAATTTGCATAGCAGATATGAAGATACACTGTATTCTATCCAAGCATGTGTATCTGTGACAATGAACTGGCCTGTGACTGAGCTTTTTGTTAATGAAGAAAATAGTGTGAGAAATAATATTAAAGCTCAATGTCAGGTGCTGCTGTGACATCTGGTAAGACTGAGATGGCCTCAGACAGCCTTTCTGCACATTCCTCTCCCCACTCTATTTCCCTGGATAAGGTCCTACAGCTAAATAATGCTCCTTGTCAAGGGACCAGCACTGATCCTGCCCATCCTGGAATATCAGGTTTCAGTTCCCTGTGAGCCAGGGAATCTTTGACACAAGCCAGCCACAACCTCCCATGGAAACCAGGGGGCCACCCCACACTCTGCAGCCCCTCATTGTCCACTTGGCTTCTGGCAGTGATCTCAGTAAAGCCTGCATGTCTGGCATTGACCTCCTTTTACAGTTTGGGAGTAGGTGTGACTAATAACACCTGTCCATCCAACTGTGCTGTGATAGATGTTATTACTTGCCATCCCCCCTAAAGAAGGTTGAAGAAGGGGGTGATTAAAGCAAAACCCACTTAAAAAATGGAAAACCAGCATTTACAAATGAAGGATGAACTTTTAGGAACTATATAAGCTCGTGGTTGCTTTCCTGGTTCTGCCTTCTGAGAGAATCAAGAAGTTTGAGAACTGCTTGAAGGTTCTTCTCTCCCAGGTAGAAATATCCTGTCTATCCCATGGTCTGTTGGAGAAATTCCTCCCCTCCTGTGACCATCTGAGGTGACACAAATGAGATTGGCTTTGGGACTGGCCCTCCCATTGATGAGTGCTGGGTGGAGGGAAGTCGGCTGTTGAAGAGCAGGAGGCAGGAATGACAGCATCCACCTTTCTCTATTGAGACTCTTCTGCTTTCTCCAAACACTTATGGTCTGTGCTGTCTTTCTCCTGGGGTTACTCCCTTGACTCACTGATGCATGACGTTACCTTCAGTCTTTCTCCTCCAACATTTAGAAAGGATACTCCAGGTTACCATTTTTGGCCATTTGGTTGGTCCCAGATGGTTAAATCACTCTCAAATCCACAGTTACATCACTATGTCTAGTGTCCCTATGTCCCCCCTGCCTCCTGCCTTTGTGTACCTCCCTGCGCTCACCAGCATCGCCTCCTGGGCCCTAAATCACACCCCAAACTTATCCAGTCAAAACACAATGTGTTCTCTTTCCCCAACCCACTACCTGCTCTTTCCTGGTGCTTCCATCTCATAAAACATGCACCTTCAAGCACAAACCTGAGAATCCATTCTGAGTCCCTATTCTTGCTTGTGTCCCAAATCCAATCTATCCCCATTTCTTCTCACAGTAAAATATAAACTTTTGTTGTTATTGTTGTTGTTAAATCCATTGTCCCTGTAGGGTCCACTGCAAACAGGGACGCTGAGACCCTAAAGAATGGTTCCAAGTTAACACATAAAAGAGGGGTCTGTTTCTCAAAGTCTGTATTATATCTCTAATAACAACACACAAAGATCACAAATGTCCTCCTTGAAATCATTGGGCAGAGTAGTTTGGAACATAGCTATGTTATTTTTCTTAATGTAGAAAATAATAAAGGATGAAAAGTCAGTAAGAATCATTTTGATCCTTTTACTGGGATTTTGGGTGAAAAGATTTCCCAGAATCAAGAGTCTGGTCATTTGTTTTATATCCATATAGGAGAAAGTGCAAGTGCCAAATGACATCTTGCCAAGAGCTGCCATTCAGTGTTCTGGGCGAATCCTGAGTCACATGCGCAGTGGGGGCTGAGACTGCTCCACCGTGGGAGCCCTGGGACAGTTTCCTTCTCCTCACTGCAGGGACTCTCAGGTTACCATCACCCTCTCCAGAAAGTGGCGACCCTCTTCTCAGAAGAACAAGGAAATAATAAATGTAAAAAGTGCCTAAAAATCTTGCACTCATACATTTTAATCAAGAGCAGCTCTTATTTCTTTGGCTCGCTCTTTGTTAGCCCAGCTATACATTTGAACTGTCTGGGGAGAGTATATGAAATAATAATTTCCTGGTCCCAGTGGCAGATATTCTGATCAATTGATTTGGGTAGGGCTTAGGCCCTGGCATTCTCCTTAAATTGTAGAATGAGTAACTTGTGTATGAAAATCATCTGAAGATTGTTTAACAATTCTAGTGTCCAAGTGATAATGTAGAACGGTGAAATCAAACTTTGTGTAGAGTGGGATTAAAGCAATGTTATTTTCCAAAGGTCTTCAGGTGATTCCAGTACAGCCTAAACTGAGCTTTAGCCCTGAGCCAGTGTGGTTATTAATGCATGGGAATCTTATAAGGCATTGTTGAATTGGCCTGTAATATCTATCTTGGGAAACATTATTATTAACAGGAGTCAGGGTACTCTTGCTGGAACAGTTGCCTTCTCCTCCTGACAGACTCTTGGTTAGTGGCAGTATGACAGGACCCTCTGGATTGCCATCTCTTTTTGAGGGTCCTGGGAACCATGCACATGTCCCAGAGAAGTCCAGCAGCTCCTACAATTCTTCTAGGACACCAGCCTAATGATAAAATGAATCCTAGGTCCTCTGTACTCCAATTCTTCTTCCAGAAGGTCACACCCCTCTGCATTCATCCAAATCCCCAGATGGCACCTGGCTGGCCTTTCACAGGAAACTGAGCTCTGCACACGACACTTGCAGTGCTTCTGTACCTTCAGTAGAATGACTTGGCCTCCTTCCCTTCAGGCAGCCTCAGCTTTTATCCCCACCCAGGGCAGAGAGGTCACAGACTAGTGTGATCCTCTGATAAGAGACCTGAGAAATGGTCAACTCACAGCCTGTCTCTTGAGTACTCTAGTGTCCCTGATCCCCAATAGTTATTGTCACATGGTGGATAATTGAATTTGAAACAATCCTTGAGCTCAGGGATATGATTTCAATATTATTTATGGACATTGGGCATTTCTATGCACTCAGTAGCTGTATGTTGAATGAGTAAATAAATGAGTATGGTTTCACTTAGGAAAAGAGAACATTTGTTATCTTTTTAGCAAATGTTAGCATATAATAAATGGTTGTTCTGGCTGATTATTTCAGATTACATGACAACACTCAGGAGCTGTCACCAGAAAGTATGAGTGGACCTCATCTAGTGACAGGAAGCTGTTGTGTGGTGCCAAAATTCACACTGAAGTTTTCAGGAACCAGGGGCTCCATCAACAAGAGAAGTTGTGGGAGATACAGATGATCCACCAAGGTAGTAATGCATCCTGAGATCTGCCAATCTGAGTCACTTTGGTTCTTGATGAAAAGACACAAAATATACAGAAAATTGAACCTGGTTGGTACAAAGTGTTGCACCCACATATAATGATAGAACCTGTGGGTAGGAAGTTGCTAGCTCCTTCAGGTAATCCAGATAAAGTAACTCTAGGCACATGGAGAATGATGGAAACTTTACAGTGTTCACTGACTAGGTCCACAGTAATTTCTCTTTACTAAACCCAGTGGGTGAAATGTCCCAATGTCTGGGTTTTTAAAAGACCCCGAACATCAGGTAGTGTAAAGGCCTGGGTCTCACATTCCCAGTGCTAGATGAAGTCCCAGTGGCCAGCTCTGTGTAAGCTGATGTAGAATTCTCTGAATGTCCTGGGGGGCCATTTCTACCTGTAGTGTGTGAGAATGGCACCTCGCACCTTCCCCCGCTTCTCAAGTTCTCATTCATACCCACTGTTGTAAAAACTACCACTTTGTCCTGGATCTGCATTCATATTACATATGTGTTTGTTGCCTCCGTAGCCTTCATCCACAGAAGGAGAAATCAGTTTGCACAGACCCTGAGGTGGAGCCAAAGGAGGGCATCAAAGTAAACAATTTTCCAGGTCTGTCCCTCACTTAAGCTACATCTATCTCCCAAGGGTCCCTCCCCAACAGCACCATCCTCATGACACATGTGGCAATATTTTCTGCTTCAGAAGGAATTTTGTTTGTCTGTATGTATGTTTTATTGAAGGATAAAAGAGTATACAAGTAATCAGAGAAGAAATATGCTCTTAGCTTCCTGTCTCATGAAGTAGTACATGGTTTCATATGTGTCCCAAGATAGATGATCCACCAGACAGGTTCATCTGGATGATGGGGAGCAAACGTTTTCTTCATTAAATTTCATTAAAGTTAGAAAATAGTAACCTTTATCAGAAAAATCTGGGAGGGACTTGAAGATAACCCTATGACCTTATTAAGGAAGGTTTTCATGTATTCCAGAATCATGTTTGCTTTTACAACTGTAACAACTTTACAGCAGCTGCATCTATAGCTAACACTCAGCTATGAGATCTGGTTTGATGGCTCCTTATCATCCCCCTCTGAAATGGTTTACAATTCAGGATAACCTTGGATACCACCTAATGTTCAATGGAGCAATTCTGAAGGCGGGCAAAATACATACATACATACATTATATACATACATGCACAGGTACATAAATAAAGACATAGGAGAGGAGAAAAAGAAACAAAGTTATTATGCAACTGAGAAACCATAAAAATGATGCAGTACATATAAAATCAGTTATGAATAAGAACTAGTATAAAGTAATAATCACCGTTTTTTTGCTTTCACGTGTAATGGGAGGTGAACGGATATGTTTATCCTGAAAGAAAAAAGATCCAAGTTGATGCTTAGCCTGTGTTTAAGTTTTGTGAGTCTGGCATTCCCACCTCCTTATAAATATTTCTACACAAATGACCAACTGTCATCTCAAAGCCCGGGTGTCTAACTGAGGAACCATCTCCCTCTCCTCACCTGTTCTTCTAGATCCATCCACAGAACCCAGAAATACATCTTTGGAAAATTTCTTCCCTTTCTTTTGTGCATTTTAAAATAACTTTTCAGAGGTTTTCCTTCACAATCTCTTAGGCACCTCTCACCCCCTCTCCATTCCCACCAGTGCCACTCAGACCTGCCTGCTCACACCAGGGCTATTTAACTGAATGCATGTGTCCCACACCTACAGGGTGTCACACCCTCTGGACAATGATGGGCACATAAAGGGCAAACCCTATGGGGGTCTAGAGAAACAAAGGGAATGGGTGGAAGGATAAGAATAAGACAGTGTGAGAAGGGCCTCACTTGAGAGTTCAGGGGACCCAGGGAAGGAGTGACCAGGCAGGGTCAGTCAGGGAACATTCAGACAAGAGTTACATGTGAGCTGAGCCTTGAAGGTTGACTATATGTTTCCTGGGCTGAAAGACACTGAATTCAGTTCAAGTTCCCGCATTGTCTGAAATACTGTTTTAAATATGTCATTTCATAGCTCAGGAGACTCTGTGGTTCTGCACTGTCTATGTTACTAGTTCAAACTCTTTAGCTTGACATTAAATCCCTCTGCAAACAACCCCAATTGATGGATTATGCTGTGTCACACACAATCCATCTACCTCAGCTCATGGAGTCACGGTAACTGTGGTTCTGGTTTTATACCACTCTTTCTCTGGAGTTGTTTGACTATACACAGTCTTCTTTCTTTTAGTGCCGAAAGTTGTCTGCAAGCACCTAGGTCAAAATGACCTTTCCTTCCTCCAAGCCCCTGCAGTCACCCTGACAGAGCCCCTTTGACAAATGGATGGGTTCTCTGGTACTGAGGTGTGAGTGTGGGGCACCTCTTCCTCTGAAAAGGATAAAGTCTTGGCCTCAAGGCTCCAGCCACAACTCAGCACATACTGGGTATTGAATACTGACCTCATCTTTGATGACAGCAAAGGAAGTCATACCTTCTGCCCCTGTTACTGAAATACCTTTATCAGCTTTTTTAGGGTTTTTCCACTGCAGGTCAGGCTGGTCTTCCAGTTACATGCTTGGTAGCCTCCTCTGACTTCAAATTCCCTGGGAGTGAACCAGTTTCCATCTTCAGTTCTTATGCACTTCCTTGTGGCTCCTGTAAGACCAGGGTACATTGATGCTGACCCCTCTTTGTCCTCAGTGCTCAGAGGTTGGCCTCCCACCTCTTTGGATCTGATGTCACCCATCTGGGTTCAAGATCAATAGCAGGAGCATCTGGCCTCCCCTTCCATACTTCAGAACCTAGAATCCTAGCTTATAAGTTCCCTCCAAGAAGATTTGCTGCTTTGAATTAAAACCTCAAGTGGGGGCCCTGCAGCTCACAATGGCACTAAGGCAACATCCACGTCCTGTGTTACAACAATTTTCTCTGAGTTTACTGTCATTGTTGAGCAGATATTTTTCCATCCTTGAAATCATGGGTAGCTGATACTAAAATAATTGTGAAATATTAATCAGTAGAAAATTTAACTGATATGTGAAAGATCATCATATACTTAACAACATTATCATTAGATAAAAGGAAATTAAACCACAATCAAATTCTAGAGTCTAAGCACTAGGGTGGCCACTACAAAAAAGACAGACAATAACAAATGTTGGTGAGAATGCAGAGAAATTGGAACCCTCAGATTTTGCTGATGAGAATTAAACTGGTGCAATACTTTGAAAAATAGTCTGTCTTTTTCTCAATAAGAAAAACATAGAATTACCAGGTAATCCTGCAATTCCACTCCAGGGCATATACTAAAAAGCATCTTAAAAATATATTCACAAAATAACTTTACATAAAGGGTTATTATTATTCATGATAGCCAAAGAATGAGAAAACCCTAACTGAAGGCTAAATGCAATATTGCATATCCATATTATGGCTCACATAGGACAATAAAAAGAATGACTTATAAAACATGCCACTGTATGTGTGAACCTTGAAAACTGCATGCTAAGTGAAGGAACCAGTGACAGAAAGGCAGATGTTATGTGAGTCAATTGAGATAAAATGCTTACACAGGCTGATCTACACATCAGAACATAGGGGTTTCTCTCCCTCTCTTTCTCCTTCCCTTCCCTTCTCTGTAAAAATAAATAGATAAAATCTTAGTAATCTGATATGAAGTTCATCATATAGACAAAAAGCTTTAAGCTTTATAATGTTAAAATCACAACACACTTTATATTCATATATAAAAGAACTCTCAAAGTCAGAGCAGGAGGCATGTTTGTAATTATTATCCATTTCTTAGGTGGAAAGTTTCAGGCTCAGGAAGGTCCCAGTCTTCACACTGTCACTCTCAGCAGGGCTGAGGCTGGGATCAGGTTTTCTGACTCTAAACTCTGTGATCTCCTCACTACATCCAACACCCTGTCCTGGTGGTGATTACCCAGATGGGATACAGGATGTGAACGTGGAGGCTGAGGGCCTCTTCGCTGTCATATCTGATTCAAAGTAGAAAATGCAGTATTTTCCACCCAGAGACAGACATTCCTGTACTTCTCTTTGTTTCTTTGGGCATCCTCATGGGCACTTGCACATGGGGAGTGAGCACTTGCTATGCAGCACTGCTTACAGTGTAAAAATATCATCTTAGGGATCCTTCTTTTTTTCTTTCAAGCCACAGTGGGACCTCAATTCCTTTGATGACAGGAGATTCACATGGGTCATTCCATTATTTCATGTGATTCCTTCACAGAAAGGTTGCAAATTAAAGTAAACCTGGAAACCTACCTCGTTCCAATTTTCTCTTAATTAACAGCCCCCTCATCTCCCCACAGGCCACACGAAGTATTTCAGCACGAAAATTTACAGACGCATCTGGGTGCTGTCTTGACCCTGAAAGAGAAGATTTTTATTCTGTCTCATTTCATAATTGCACACAGAGAACTTCCTACCATGTAGTTATTGTTTCTACAAAGTCATAGGGGTACTAAGCAAACTGTATTCCACACATCTTCAGAGCTTCCGAGCCTTTCTTTCAGTGGCATTTTTTCATACATACCCACAGAACGTTTGCCTTGATTTCACCTCTCAAACCCCCCACACTCAGAACGCTTTAGCAGAGACACCAGGCATCAGGACACCTGTCTTAGCTCCCCATGCAGTCAGCCCCCTGATTCTTATGTGACAGTGACAGTGCTGTCCTGGTAGAAGGGAGCTCTGCAACTGTGCTATTTCTCTGGACTTGGGTCATTGGAGGCAAAGTCCCAGACTGTACCTGCCTCTTCCTGTGTGAGCTCTGACTCAGGAGCAGAGAGGACAGTGATGGGGTGACCTAATGGAGATGGTGTCTGCTTCCTGTTTGTGTTCACTGCTTTGCATTATTTCTCCCCCACATCAGCTTTCTCCAAAGCTGAAAGAGGAACTCAGGAATCTCTAGACAATCTGCAAATTGCAAGGGTAGTTAGACTAGCTGTAGTCTGACAATGGTGTGCCATTTATCAAAAGCTACACTCAATGCTCTGATCGTCTAAGTCTATGACCCCATCTTCCCTTGTCCACACACTTCTCTGTTAGGGCTCTTTGGTCCCTGAAGGCAGCTGTCCCCAAAGAAGGCAGAAAGGGATCATCTTCTTCCTGCATTGTGCTCAGGACAAAAGTGAGTGTGGGGATTAATGGTGTTACAGAGACCAACTCTGGAAATTGTGGATTCTGCTCTGACCCTTGCTGGCAATGATGCCTCCTTCTTTCCCCAACCAGCCTGGAAGGTGGAGTCCTTGGAGTGCCCAGATGATTCAGATTTAATTTTTGTCATGTTTATTTTTGTAAATGTTTTTGCCCTTTTTATGTGTGACCCTTCTGGATGTAAAATCTGAGTGAGAGCAGGAGATTATGGAAAGAAAGATAAAGCTGGAGCCAGTGGAATAGTACACACAGGTTTTGTAACAGTGAAGGAAGAGCAAAGACGCCAGGCACCTGAAGAGGAAACATCTAGGAAGGTAGGGGAGGTAGGGAGGCCTTAATGATATCTGTCATTCAGAGCTCCCTGAGTCCTCCTTAGAGAATGAAACAACCTGGTCCAGGTCTTTCACCACAGGGATGCTGAGTCTGCCACTCAGCACCTGATCCAAGGAAACAGGGGCTGGTGCCAGCATCTGAAATCCCATGAAGAATGTCTCTGGGCAATGTGCCCCACATAGATTCTTAGTCATTTGGTGGAGGGTTGTGAAAAGAACAAATGTGAGCTGGATGGTGTCATGGACATAAGAGGCAGATTGGATAGACGGTTCTTAGGTAGTGACCTTGCCCCCATCTTGCCCCATTAAAAACTAGAAACAATGAACAGAAGCACAACTCATAAGACCTATAGCTGGCCAGTGGCCCAGACTGGAGAACATGCCTGTCCCCCCACCTCCTAGCTGATGTATATACACATCCTCACAGACCTCGACAGTGGTGAATACTTCCCTTTGAGGGCACTGTGTTCACTTGTCTGTCTCATACAAACATGGTGACTTGCACCATAGGGGTGATCACAGGATCCTAAAGCACTTGCAGTAGAAGAAACTTGGTAAATGCTGCAGGAAACAAATGAATGGATGGGGACTCAGCCCCCCTTGGTGGTGATATTAATCAGAGTGGCTGGTGGAGTGGTGTCCTCCTGGGGACACTGCCAGACTCTGCTATGTGGGGTGAGCTTATTGGGAGGCAATTTTCTGTGGCATTTCCAGGTTCCTCAGGGTATCTTTTCAAGGAATTTTGATTAAGAAACTGTGTTGCAAGTTAATGTTAATGTTGTTACCTGATCAATATAAAATAGAGATCACCTCACCCCTGAGATATTTTAGGATAGTCCATTGACCCTCCTCTCCCCAGGGGAGAGCTCCTTATGTTTCAGGGTGATGGTCATGTTCTGCATCTTCATAAAGATTGGATTTTACAAGAGAATACTTTATTCATAACTCTTAGTATTTGTGCATCTTATTATAAATGATAAACTTCATGTCCAGAGACAAAGAAACACACTGCAAACAAATATTGCAGTCTAGTTAATACTCTGCATGCTGAAGGGATTGGAGAGAAATGTACTGATGCCTGCAAGATGGAAATGTTTCAAACCTGAGGATGGATAGGGACATGGATGGATGGACAGAAATGTGATAAAGCCAGAATAGTGAGTGTTAATTTTGCATTAATGGGAAAGTATTTTGATGTTTATGGTACAATATTTTAAGTTTTAAGTGGTTTTAAAATTTTTACAACTTGATAGTTGGAAAATAAGATTTTGGCAAAAAAAGACACTATTAAGAAAAAAATGACAGTTAAACTACAAAAAAGAAATCATCACCCATGCAATAGATCCTGAAAGACAACCAGTAACCATATTGGCATACTGAGAAGATCTTTCTATTTAAAAATTCTTTCAAATCGAAGGCAACTTTGCATGTACAACACTGGCAGGTTTGCCACATAGACAACCTACTACAACAACTAGGTATTAATTCCACTAGACACAAAGTAAAACCAAAGGAAAGAAACAATGATAAGTGTATAAAATGATGAAAAATTGTTTTGCAGAAATATTGACTACAAAATGGTAATAGTTTCAAAATTCATAGTTTGAAAAAGAAGTAACAAAATGTTAAACAACAATCATGGAGATTAAAGGTTCAGTTTGAGAATATTCATGCTGAGATCCTTGACATCTTTTGAGATTAGGGCATAGTTGGAGAGATGGCAGAAATTTTATCTCCAATTTCCAAACCAGAAGAGACAAATGGTGAAATATGGAATTCTATCTCAATCAATCAGGATGAGGAAAAAAACATAAAAACACCCAACAGAAATGGTTAACAAGAATATAGAATACATAAGTCCACATATATCAGGAATCTAATAATAATAAAATCATATTAAAAGATCAGATTTATCAGAGAAGGTTGCAAGAGGCAGAGTGTCATTATGAGGCATAACATAAACTGCATAGGGGGACTTAATGAAAAGGCAGTAAAAAACATAAAACATAAAAGTTAATGTGACAATATTAGCACCCTGAATAAACATTTGAAAGCAAAAAGCATTAAGTACGATATACAGGAACACTCTGTAATTTTAAAAGAAGAAATCCACCTAAGTAATAACAGTCATGAATAGCCTCAAAGTATTTCCAGTAAAAAAACAGAACAAGGAGGAATTGTCAAATACACAGTCAAGTCGGGGCATGTAATACATCCCTATATGACAGGATGGAATGCATACACCCTAATTTCCTATGCATCCAGGGGATTTAAACAACCAAGTTGTGCTTCAGGAAGAGAATGTATATGGGGAGGAGCCAGATCACCAAAATAGTTCCAATGTGCATACTTTGAAAGAGACAGAAAACATTTATAAATATGGATCACACAATTAGATTCCAAAGGAACTTTCAACAGACTTTTAAGAGCTGAAAGAGTCAATTCTTCATACTGTATTCCAGCTGTGCATTTTTAGTTCCTAATTTACTAAGAGAACATGTGTCTTCTTGGAGATGTCACAGTCCAGACAAAATACCATAGTCCATAACTTCACTAATAGCTGGCAGGACCACCTGTTTCAGATTTGATGAGTGAGATGTGGGAGGTGGGGAAGTCTAGGAAAGCTTCTCACAAAAGGGGCAGATCTCTGAAGGAAAGTATATTTTGCTCTTCCCCATTTCTCCTTTGGATGGCCTAGAGCATGTCTAGGTGGCTGCATTCAGCAGGCACCTTGGGCAATGATGTGATCTTCAAAGTGGCTAAACTAAAGGAAAAAGAAGAAGCTTCCAAATACACAGGGCCTAATATAGCTAAAACCATTTTGAAAAAGAGAAACAAAATTATAGGTCTTAGTATATAATTTTAGGACTTATCATAAAGCTGTAGTAATCCAGAAAATAGAATATTGACCTAAAGATAGACACATTGGAAAATAGAACAGAAAAAGAAGTAGAGAAATACATCCTACTTGGATGGGCAAATGACTTTTGGCCATAAGCCAAAATGTCAAAGCAATTGATTCAATGTAAAAGGATAATCTTCAGTAAATGGTACAGGGACAATGGAATATCTATATGCCATCCCCCAAAGACCTTACTTAATGTCATGTGCAAAAATTAAGGAGCTCAAACTGGATATCAGATACCAATCTGATAGCTGTCAGAGGGGATAGCTGTCAAGGGAGGTTAAGGGGACTGGGTGAAAGAAGGGGAAGGGATTACCTAAGGAACACATATGCATAACACATAGACACGCACAACAGTGTGGTGAAGGCCAGAGGGAAAGAGGATGGGGGCTGGGTGGCGGTGCCTAAGGGTAGGAAATGGGGACATCTGTAATAGTGTCAACAATAAAAAATAAAGTAAAAAAAAGAGAAACAGATTGCAGATTCTGGGGTTTGCACATGGACGGCTCTGTTTCTGTTGGTATAAAATTCTCAAGCATTGAATAGGTCTCCCAGGTATGTCATGGGGATTTGGTCCATTAACAAAGGCTCCTGCACGGATCCTCCCTACGTAATCACATGCCAATTTTTGGCTTCTGCTGGGATGGCTGAGAGGATCTGTAAATCACACACACAGTCTCATCACAGAATTTTCCTGTGACTGAATCCTCTGACTTTTCCTTACTTCTGAGGTTCCAGCAAATAGTCATTAAGCCACATTCTTGGTCATTCTGCAGAGCACACTTACCTGACAGTGAATTTCAGCTTTAGCATCTTTTGCAACCTGAGTAAGCTAAGAAGAACCCAAGTCATCAAGTCCTGATTCCTTTATTGTTTTAAAAAGCAGTTCTCCCCTTCAGTTTATCTCTTTCCTCTCACATTTTATTATAAGCAGCAAAAAGAAAACTGCTGCATTCTTATCACCTAGAAATCTCTACAAAGTTCTGCTTTCCACATATGTGCAGATCAGGGTTTCCCTACGCTTTCAGCCATTTTGTAAAAAGGATCTTTTTCTTACCGTTCCCAAGCACATGTTCTTCATTTCCTTCATACCCTCACCAGTCACACCAGTAACCTCCCTGTTCAGGATGATTTACAGTTTCTCTGAGACAGCACAGGTTTTCTTTCCCATATTCTTCTCTCCTTCTGAGTCCTCTCTAGGTCTTCAGCAACCACATTTCTAAGAACAAATTCCTCAAGGCCATCTAGGCTTTTAAAAAATCTTTCTACTTAAATTCTTCTAGCCACTGCTCACTGCACAAAGACACTGATGGATTTTTAGGATTGTTTTATAGCCATAAGGCACTTATAAGAGCCAAAGTCTGTATTATTTCTATATTTCTGTCATAACAATTTACTACAAATAATGGGTTAAAACAACACAAACTTATCAGTTTATAATTAATGTCAATAAGAAGTCTGGCAATAACTCACTGGAATAAAATCAAGTTTTTATCAGACCTTCATTGCTTTCTGGGGGCTGTAGGGTATAATCTGCTTCCTTGATTTTTCCAGCTTCTTAAGGTCACCCACATTCCCTAGTCCCTCCTCCATCTGCAGAGCCAGAGGTATTGACCCACTGTGACTGTTCCTCCATAGTCACTTCTTCCTCTCCCCACAGCCAAGAAAGGCTCTTCATTTTCTAAGGGCTATTGAGTATATTGGCATCATCCAGGTAATCCAGGGAAATCTCCCCCATTTCAAGCTCCCTAGTTTAATCACATTTGTAAAGTTCACTGGCCATTTGAGATAATGGATTACAGGTTCCAGGGTTTAGGACATAAACATCTTTGAGGAGACATTATTCTGCCTAATACAATATTGTAAATAATAATAATGATGAAACTCTGGTGTTTAAAACTAATTTCTCACATTAAAAGTAAGTAAAGTTTTATTCACTCTTACTTCTTTTTTTCTTGGGGTTTTGTAAAGCAGAGTTGTTTCCAAGATCCATGAAACCTAGAAAATAACAGATGGTGGTGAGAAAAGAGAAATGAACAAATGAAAGCTCCAGGTCTTAGGATGGTTCATGCCACAGAAGACCTTAGTATATGAGTATAAAGATGTCTGATTTCTTGAGAAATAAGTGTCTGGAATGGGCCCTGGGTCTTTGTTTAATTTCTCAACATGACTTTGAAATATACCTTAAATGCTTCTGCACTTCAGCTTATGCAGGGATTGTAACAGGTATTCCATCCTGTCCAGGTCTCAAGGTTTTTGTGAGATGTCAGTGCTCCCTCAGCTTGGTCCCCAAAAGGCAGGCCTATCAAGTATATTGGTGTCACCCAGTTGTCCTTTTATTTGCAGACAAATGCACTTGTGCTGCACTTGTACCATTGACCTTTTATACCAGTCAGCAGTCCTCCAAATGCATAATATTTGTGTATCATCTTAAATCCCAACAAATTACTATTTTTTATTTAAAGGAAAAAAACCAGGAATACTTGAATAAAGCTTTTGTAACAAAGAAAGCTATTAGTTATCTTTGCTCTTAGGTTTTTTCTGATTGCCTATTCCCTAAATAGGTATTTTTTAAATGTCCACAAGGTTTGGACGCAAAGGAAAACACAGCTAATATTCTATAACTAAAAGAGTGGTAAATCTATAAAGACACAGCAAAGAAAGAAAACTTTGGGCCGACATCGCTGATGAACATAGATGCTAAAATCCTCAACAAAATATTGACAAACCACATCCAACAATACATTAAAAAGATCATAAACCACGACCAAGTCGGATTCATCCCAGAGATGCCAGGATGGTTCAATATTCAAACATCAGTAAATGTAATACATCACATAAACAAAAGCAAAGACAAAAATCACATGATCATATCAAAAGATGCAGAAAGAGCATTTGATAAGGTACAGCACCCATTCATGATAATAACACTCAGCAAAGTGGGAATAGAGGGAGCATTCCTCAACATGATAAAGGCCATCTATGAGAGACCTACAGCCAACATCATACTCAATGGGCAAAAACTGAAATCTTTTCCACTGGATCAGGGACAAGACAAGGTTGTCCACTTTCACCACTTCTATTCAATATAGTGTTGGAACTTTTAGCCACAGTGATCAGACAAGAAAAAGAAATAAAAGGCATCCAAATCGGAAAGGAGGAAACAAAACTGTCACTGTCTGCTGATGACATGATAGAGTACATAGAAAATCCTATAGACTCAGCCAGGAAACTGCTTGACCTAATAAATGAATTTGGCAAAACAGCGGGATACAAAGGCACTATCCAGAAATCAAAGGCATTTTTGTACAGCAACAATGAAACAGCAGAAGCAGAAATCAAGAAAAAAATCCCACTTGAAATAGCAAAAAGAAAAATAAAATACCTAGGAATAAACCTAACCAAAGAGGTAAAAGACCTGTATTCAGAAAACGACATAACACTGAGGAAAGAAACCAAGGAAGACACAAACAAATGGAAGCATATACTGTATTCATGGATTGGGAGAATTAACCATCATCAAAATGTCCATATTACCCAAAGCAATTTACACATTCAATGCAATGTCTATTAAAGTACCAATGGCATATTTCACAGACACAGAACAAACACTTCAAAAATTTATATGGAACCATAAATGACCCCGAATAGCGGCTGCAATTTTGAGAAAAAAGAAGAAAGTAGGAGGGATCACAATACCTGATACTAAACTGTATTACAAGGCCAGTGTAATTGAAACAGCCTGGTACTGGCATAGAAACAGGCACATGGACCAATGGAACAGAACAGAGATCCCAGAAATAAACTCAAGTCTCTATGGTCAATTAATATTTGACAAAAGGGGTAGCAACATAAAATGGAGTAAAAATAGCCTCTTCAAGAAATGGTATGGGGAGAACTGGACAGCTACGTGCAAAAAATTGAAACTTGAGCATCAAACTTACACCATATACAAAAATAAATTCAAGGTGGATGAAAGATTTAAATATAAACTGTGACACCATTAAAGTCCTAGGGGAAAACATAGGCAGGAAAATCTCAGACATTTCACGCAGAAACATTTTTACTGACATGTCCCCTAGAGCAAGAGACATAAAGGAAAGAATAAACAAATGGGATCTCATCAAAATAAAAAGCTTCTGCACTGCTAAAGAAAACAGTATTAAAATAAAAAGAGAACCAACTGTATGGGAGAACATATTTGCCAATGATACCTCAGACAAGGGTTTAATCTCCAAAATATATAAAGAACTTACAAGACTCCACTCTAAGAAGACAAGGAATCCAATTAAAAAGTCGGCAAAAAACTTGAATAGACACTTCTCCAAGGAGGACGCACAGAGGATCCAGAGACACATGAAAAGATGTTCAATATCGCTAGCTATCAGAGAGATGCAAATTAAAGCCACAATGAGATACCACTTCACACCCGTCAGAATGGCCATCATAAACAACAAACAACAAGTGCTGGAGAGGTTGTGGAGAAAAGGGGACCCTAGTGCACTGTTGGTGGGACTGCAGACTCATACAACCACTATGGAAAACAATATGGAACTTCCTCAGAAAACTAAATATGAATCTACCTTTTGACCCAGCAATTCCACTGCCGGGACTATATCCTAAGAACCCTGAAACACCAATCCAAAAGAATTTATGCAACCCAATGTTCATAGCAGCACAATTTACAATAGCCAAGTGCTGGAAGCAACCTAGGTGCCCATCAGTAAATGAATGGATCAAAAATACTATGGTACATTTACACAAGGGAATTCTATGCAGCAGAAAGAAAGAAGGAGCTCCTACCCTTCGCAACAGCTTGGATGGAGCTGGAGAGCATTATGCTAAGTGAAATAAGCCAGGCAGTGAAAGACAAATACCATATGATCTCACCTTTAACAGGAACCTAAACAACAAAACAAACAAACAAGCAAAATATAGCCAAAGACACTGAAATAGAGGACAGGCTGACAGTGACCAGAGGAGAGAGGGGAGGGAATTTCCGGGGAATTTCAGGGGGAATGGGAAGTGTTTACAGAAACAAATATAAAGGACACATGGCCAAAGACTAGGGGGTTGAAAACGGTAGGTGGGGAAGGATGGGTGGATGGGCTGGGATGGGAGTAAAGGACAGAAACTGGTACTTGAACAATAATTAAAATAAAATAAAATAGAAGAATGGTAAATCTTATGACTCTTGACATTTTTGAAGGATTTGGATTATAAAGATGTGGTGATGATCATTTCTGTCTCTGTCTCATCTGAAGGAATGAGATTGCTACAAAATGAACCAAAGACTCACAACCCTTAGCTCATAGGCAGAATCAAAAAGTCTTGAAAACCAATAATTTTTTTACAGGTTTATAGCAAAGTCTCTTGGCAGGGAAGCTGGACTTAGTTGCCATGAGTCCATGTAGAATCTTTAACTTATCACACTTGGTTTGAATTCACACAATTTGTTGCAGAAACATTAATGTATTTGAGAATAAGATTTTACCCCTGGCACTGTTGGGGTCTTTTGTAACATACAGGATATAAATCCCAGTGCACTTCTAAAATAGTAAAACATTATTATTTTATGTGTGGCTTCAGAGGTTTTGAATAAAGGTAACTCTCCCTGTGATTGTGTAAAGATCTTGAAAACCTCATAGGTACAGAGAGCAAAATGACGGCTCCCAAACAGTGAAATGGGGGAGCAACTGTTATCTGGCCAAACTTTGAGGTTGTTGTAAACATAAACAGATGTCCTTTTTGGCAAACCATGTTCAAACATCACTATATAGGCCAATGTCATGTTGGGGGTCATCTGTCAAAAGCTATAAAGGGAACGTAATAGTCATAACCTTTTAAAGTCACAAAAACTTTTCCTTGTGTCCATAACTAAAAATTAACTAGAGTCTGTTGAAATATGAACAGGCTTGTGACAAAATTGAGCAATAACTGACTGTCCAGCTGTCTCTGTCCTGTACAGATCAGGTGCTGAGTGCGTGACCATCTCTATGTGGTCCAGTACTTGGGGGATGATGTCTCTGAGCATGTAGTCAGTAAGGAGGCACTGCTGTCCTGCCAGAGCCATCTTGTTAAGCCTGAACTTAAGTGATTTCTTTCTTTGCAGGTTTTATTTACTTTCATTTGTTATTGAATTGGTTGGGGTGACATTGGTTAATGAAATTATGTAAGTTTCAGGTGCATGATGCTATAATACATCACGTGTACATCGTGCTGTGCATTCACCACCCCAAGCCATGTGTCCTGCCATCCCCATTTATCCTCCTTTATTCTCTTCTACATCTCCCCACCCTACTTCCATCTGGTAATCGCCATACTGTTTTATTTGTCTGTGTATGAGTTTTTTCTTTTCTCTTTTCTTTTCTTTCTTTTTCTTTTTTTCTGCTTAAACCCTTCTTTCACCCAGCCCCTTTACCCCCTCCCATCTGACACCTGTCATTTTTCCCTCTGTATCTATGAGTCTGAGACTATTTTGTTTGCTAGTTAATTTGTGTCCTTTGCAGTCTTCACAGTGGCCACATGAGAGCAAGGCAGGACTGGGCTCCCGCATGTGAGGTGTGCTCAGAGGAACAGGAGCCCTGACCTCAGGCTCCTGCTGTCCTGGAGCCCAGCCATGGTGACCCTTACCCTGCTGGTCAGCACCACTTCTCACTGCAGAGCTCCCAGATTCTGGGTGCTTCTCCTGTGCACTGAACCCTGAAGACCCTTCAGGACTTCTCACTGCAGAAGGAGCAAATGTTCCTTGAAGGTCTCAGTGTGTGACAAGGAACTCAGGAAAAAGTTGGGAAGCTCTGAAAACCCAGGGCTAGCTTGTCCCTCCCTCAGTCCCCCATGATGTGTCTTTTGTATTCACGTGACCTGTAGGTCAGTACTTTATCATCCCTGTCCCCTGGGCCTGGGGTGGAGATATCTCTCTCTCACTGGACTCCTCTGCATTCTCTTGGCCCTCTGCATTCTGCACTGCACTCTCTTTCTTCCTTTCCATGTAGCTTCATGGATTTGTGTTTGTGTCTGTAATTGTGTTAGTTATTAGCTCTGCTTCTGTCCCAAGGTGGTCTTACAAATTTGGCATTGAAGGAGGCAGACCTGTCACTTGGCTGCTTCCCAGGATGACTTTGTGAAATAGAGCCCCACCCCTCCCCTTAAATTCTACTGTGTTCGGGACATAGACCTCTTTGGGGGTTTTGTCATAGGCACTAGTCTAATTAATATAAAAGTTAAAATGTGAACTATTTTAAATTAAAACAAATTTGTACTTTACTATAAAAGATATAGCAAGGAATTAGAAGAAATTTTTGCAGAAAACACTGCTCATTTGCAACCATGAAAAGATGTTATTTGCTTTTACCTCTTTTGGAAGGTCTGTTTCCAGGTGTAGATGACTTTGTTAAGTTCATAGACTCTATAAAGTAAGAGGAAGAAAACTGTTATTTGTTAGCAACTGTCTTACATAATGTGTGATAACTCACACAGCAGATAGGGTTTGTGATAATCTCAATTTTGAAATGAGCATTTTCCTCTTTCCTTGAGCTGAACCCAGTTCTGGTGCCCACAGTCCTAACCCTGGGTTCCTGCCAGGCTCTCCCCTTTACTTCTATATGTGAATTTGTAAATGACCTTCAAACATTACCTCCAGTTTCCTCATCTGTAATACTGAAATAACCTAGTTACCCCAACTCTGTGTTAAGGTATTTGTGAAAACACAATGAATTTATATTCACAATAGCACTGTGAAAAATCAAAATGTAAGCCAATAGTTTAAGTATCATTTGGGCTTGAGAGGTAGTTGGACTGAGCCACTTTTTCCATCAGTAACTATATAGCAGCACCAATGATTCTATGAAGACTTTCCAAGTTTTGCACTAATGAGAATACTGTTAAGAAATTGTGAAATACTATGCTCACTACTCTCACTTTGTACAATATAAAACATGTTGGTAGAGATGAAGTACATTTTACAACTCTTCAACTATAATCAATATGACAGTGTGTAGTAAAAAAAGACTTTCATTTACCAGTGTAGTGTATTATTGCTATGTTGTCATAATATCATTTGATTGGGCTCATCCAGTTGAACAACAGTTCATAATGCCCCTTTTTCCCTCTTTCATATTCCAATAGGGTTGAAGACATTAAATGCTCAAAGTGATGCTCTAGAAGTCATGGAAATAATGCATATGGAGAATGTCAGAATAAGGTTCGTTTGGGAAACAGAGCTCTGGATTCAGATTCTGGATTTTGATGTCTAGAAATACATCTTATCTGTTGCATTTTAGAGTCATGAACAGGTGACTGGTTCTTGGTCTTTCCTCCTTTGCTCAATTCTAAGGAGTCCAGGTTATTGATCTCTGCACAGAGGAATAGGATTTGCTAGGTGCCTCAGTGTGTGACCAAGGAACCGATTCAGCAGGAAATTCCCTAATAAACTTGGAAATATTTTGAAAACCCATGTATATCATGGCCTTTGCATATGCCACTGCACTGCTCTTGTAGGTCACCTGCCTTGCAGGTTACTGATGGTCCTTTCCCTGTCCACAGAGCAGAGACAATTCATTGCTTTGTTTGAACCTGACCTTCCTACACTTCTCTCTCTTCCTCCTCCTACCCCTTCTATTGTCATTCCACAACATATTCATTGGCTGTTTCTCTGTGAGGAGGACTTGGATATCTTGTGTTGAAGGTAGAGAGCCTCCTATACACCGTGGTGCCCCTTGAATCATTTGCAAGGCTGAGAAATAATCTTCTCTTGTGTCTGAGCCATAGACCTATTTTGGGACCACATTTCAGTGCAGTTTGCTACACTGAGACACAAGTCAGAAAGTACACTCCCTAAAAACTGAAGCAAACTTACATTATACATTGATAGAGATATCAGAAAAAAATTATTACTTGCGATATTCGTCTGTTGTAATGTCAAGAGCAGGTAGCATTTTTATTTGTTTTTAAAATCTTGATTTAGTGTGTTTTCCTAAGTAGACATGTTTGCAATATCCTCTGAGGAAGTAGGAAGGGAAAAACCAATGTCCATGTTGTGTACTGAAGAGCTATAGATCTAATGATTATTCATGCTGCTCACAGGATTGAGAAAACCATATTTTGGTAACTGTTCTGAGCTCCAGTTTTGTAAAGGAAACAACACAGCATCCAGCATACTAGTCTTGTCTTTCCCTTTTTCTCCATGAGACTTTGTGGAAGACCTTGAAACATTTATGTGACTGTGTTTGCTCATCTAGAAACAAAATTAACACTGTCCATCCTTCTTACCCCTCAGGGTTGCTGTAAAGGAAAAAGTAAGGCACTATTTGCAAAGGTCCTTTGAAAAGTCACTGTATGTTCATAACTTGCTGAAGAACTCTGTCAAAAATAATACTTTGGGTTTCAAAATTCCTTATCTGTTTCCTCTCACACTAGATAACTGAAGGAATTGGCCCTTGACATTATTCAAAGTTTTGTGACCTGATGACAATATGACCTTCCAGTAAAGAAATAGTTAGCTTTCTTTTCTCTATAGAAACCACTGTAAAAATCCAGCCAGCACTTTATAGTCATAGACTCAGTTTTCAAACAAATTCATTACCTTGGTACCCTATTTCCACTATATAATCAATAGATCAATGCATAGGTTGATTAATAGGACCTACAAATTTATAGGCCCCATTAAAAAATGTAAACATAATGAATTATTACCTTGCCGATTCCCAAAAGGTCAAAAAAAAATAAATGCAGAGAATGAGATTCGAAGATAAACTGGATCCATAGTGCAGCATGAGCTAGAACACATGCCCCTGGAAAGAGCTGCTCTTAATTCAGGTCCTGCAGCCCAAGCCTTGAGCTCCCACCTCCTCACCTGGTTTTCTCAGTGCTGAGGTGGAAGCTATGGGAGGCTCTTCTCTGTTTCTGCGTTCTGCAGAGTCAGCACTGCTGGTCACTGCACAGAGGACAAAAACCCCTTAGACTTTCAGGGAGGTGCCAAGGAGCCCACTGATAGGAAACCTCATGAGAAGAGCACAAGGAAGACCTAGAAGCTAAGTCAACTCTGGTTCCCCTGGTTTGTGCCCCAATGTGTGTGGCCTGCAGGTTGCTCCAGGTCCTACACAGAAGGTGGTGACATTCAGGCACAGAGGACAGCAGTGCCCATTCTGCAGCAATGCTTACCCCACAGTCACCCTGTCTCCTACTTCCATCCTCACTCTACATCCGATCCCCACCCTCATTCTACCTCTTCCCTTTGCTCTCTAATACTTCCACCCCCATTCTATCTCTTTCTTTCATTCTTATTTTAATTCTTCATTTTCCTCTTGGTTTAGCCTATTTTTGCTATTTTTATTTCTGGTGATGGTATCTCTTTGTACATTTTCTTGTCTTCTTGTGTTTTTAAAAAATCTCCTTTCATGCATATCTTGCTATTCTGAATTATTTGCCTTGAATATAGAAAATAGTCTCTGACATCAACACTTAAATTTACCTTTTTTTGTTTTTTATATTTTTCCAATCACAGGGGACATTTTTCTGTTGAACTCATTACATAAAATACTGATCCCCTCCCCTTCCTATGTCTAACCCAGGCTGCCAGCACAGCCTCCATAGGCCATATGACGTGTCCCAGTCCCCCACCTGCTACCATGATTCACATCACACATTCTTTCAGTCAACCTTGCCTATTATATTAGATGCCTGGTACAGTCAGCCTTTGCTTGGGCTTCCCATTCATCTCCTGAATTAAAAAATGACATTTCCTTCATTATATCTACAAGATCTTCAGAGGAAGAATTCATTAGTTTCCATGGTGGGGTGGCTCTGCTCCTGAACCTAATTAGAATTAATGAAGATTTATTTTTTGTCTCCCCAAAAGGAGTGAGCACCCTCACTACAATTAAGATCTTCTCCCTGTAATTCCACTGGGTTTTATTATTTTTTTTCACTTTTGTTTCTATTTTTTCAAAGTAGAAGGCTATTTTTACCTGAGAGGGCCCTAGGGCTACTCTGGTCACTGTGGACACCTCACCTTCTCAATGGTGTGAGGAGCAGCCCACTGTGCCCTCTTTGTGGAGACTGTCTCCTCCAATCAGACAATGCTTGGTCCTTTCTCTGCCAGCTCTTCATACATTGTCCTTTACTCACTTCAACACAGTTTTCTTTGTGTCTCCCTCCCCATTTTTTATTTATTGATACTCATTTCTTTCTGTATCTTAGTCTCCTTATACTATTTCTTTATATTTTTATCATTGCCTACCAGGGCCAACAGGGTCTTGGGTAAAGCAAAGAAGGTGCCCAGGACACAAGAGGTCCTGAGGGTGAGCTCCTCCTTACTTGTGTCCCAGGGTCTTCCTGCTTCACCCTAGACCTGGCCCTGCTGCTCCACCTGACTTTTTAGTTTATCCATTCTCAGTTATGTTTCCTACTCTCTCCTATTTTCTTTCTGTCTCTTCATTATTTTTTGACCCATAAAATCCTCATCTATGTCAACTTTGTCTTTCTTTATAATTTCTTTTTGTCTAGCATTCCAGTCATCACCGCAGTTTCCCTGTGCCTTTACCCACAATGTAGGGTCCCTCCACCTGCCAGTTCCCCTCCACACTCATTATACTCAGGCACTCAGTCTTACCTACTGGCTCAAACACTTGGGCAGATTGTTCAATCGCTTGTTGGGGTTCTAATGCATCATCGTCACTGATTATAATTGTATCCACCATATGTATGTCTTCTGTTCCAGGGAGGCACTCTGAGAGTCTAGTATCAGGTGGAGCTGTACCTAGACCATGTATGATTCATAGATATTTTATTTGCTTTCTTTACCACTCAGGGTCCAACCAGAAAATAGAAACTCTCTAAGCTTTTAGAGCAGAAGGAATTTAATCCAGATGACCAGTCATACAGCCAATGGAAGAGCTGAGAATTCCAACCCAAGAATAGTGAATAGGAAGCTATGGGAGGGATCAAAGGTGAGATCATGTGCCAAGGCTGCCTGGGAGCTAGACAGTGGATCACGTTTGCCTGCCTGCTGGAAGGCAGCGTCATCAGAGTTACTGCTGCTGCCAGAACTGCTGCCCAAGACAGTGAATGGGAAAAACCAAGCTTCCTCTTTGCTCCCCCTCTCCAATCTGTTGCTAGTGTGACCCAGGTTAGGAACCCAGGAGGAAGCAGAAGCAAGTGAGCCTTCAAGCAAGGCTGCATGGGTCTGTGGCCAGAGACAAAGGGCAGATTGAAGGAAGGAACAATAAGGTCCTGGATAAACTACCCGGGACCAGCACACCCTCTTCCCCACACTGAATCCTCACTCACTCATTGCTGATTCCACTGACCCATCCCACTGTGTTCCCTCCAACCTCAAAACTGTATAGACGGAAAATATTTTATCAGTGCAACTTCAATTATTTCATCTACTGCTCTTTTCCTAAACAAAGCACTTTATGTAAAGATGATTTAAAATTTAATTCCCACAATTTAAACAGAACATGGGCCCTGGTACATGTTTTATGTTACATACACATTCCTTGGAGCCTTCTCTTGGGGTGGGGGCGGCATCAGACACAGCGTTATCCTCGCCTGTGCATGTCACAGTCAACCCATCCTGCCTGGTCAGACTCTTGGGTGTATTTACTGGTGGTTTGTTGCATATTATTTGGGTCATAATGTCATGGTTCCACCCAACACCCCATCTGCACATTAAATTCCTTCTCTGCTCATTACTAGTCACAATTCCTTCCTCCCAATCCTTCCTGTTCCCACCAGTACACTGGTAGATGAACTGCTAAGAATACACTTTGATGAATGTTGGATGCATGTTAAGTGTTAACTCTTCTACTAAATGTAATTTGCTAAAAGTATCATGATGCTTTTAAAAAGTCACTCTGTGTTTTATTTTATAAAAAACGCTAATTTATAATATCCTTTATTAAATAACACATCCCACACAAGCTACTGAATTATGCCTTCCATGGTGCAGGAAGTTCCCTGAGTCTCCTCCTTGTCACTTATTTGCAAAGAAGAGTCAGGGAATAAAGACATAAATTTGTTATACACTAGTGTGATATAAGGATAGGGAACCTGTGGTCCTCAATTTATTTTCTTGGGCCTGAGGTGGGCACTGTTTTGATCACTACTCCATAGCCTGAGGGATAATTAAATCCACCATGGACATATGTGAGAAAAGAAAACCCCACAGTTTACTGTGGTAGATAACAGTTTACACTGTTGCCCAATACTACTAATAATGATCATAAACATAGTAATATTAAAAAATCTTAGAACACTGATGAAGACTCATGCAAGTCTCTGAATTCTTTACATGATACAACTTGTCACCCTGTGAGGGAGGTACTATTGTGACCTCCATTTCATAGATGATGAAACTGAGTGACAAAGCGGAAGTGTCTCTTCCTCAAGGTCTTAGAGCAGAATTGGAAGCCAGCTGTGGGTCACCAGACCTCCTGCTCTGACACTGCCCTATGGCAGAGTTTAATCCCTAGTCTCAGTGCCTGAACTCCCACAAATAGCCCAAGTCTCCAAGCAGATTCTTTGTCTTCTGAAAAACACAGATGGCATACCATCATTTTAACTGTTTGAGTAGATTAAATAAAATATTGCCTGTATTACTATAAGTGATATGGTGACTGACCAGGAAATTAACTTTTCAGGATTCATGTCTTTAATTTATCATATTTTAAATATTTTAACAACTTTAGTAAGTGTGTTATAGACTAAGGAAATGTTAAGAGTTGTAAACAGTGGTTATTGGTTGTTAAAGTTTCAAGTGTTTGTTCAGAGGACCATCTGCTATTTCTGACCAGCGTCTGGCCCGCTGTGCTGGGGATGATGGGAGAGGGTTTAAATGGGAGGCACATGGGGCTGTGTAAAGGATTCAGCAGGTGAGGGACTCTCCCCCAGGGAACACAGTCATCATTGCTAAGCTGTCTCCTGCAGGACAGGCCACCTCAGGATGGAAAATCATCAGCTCAGGCCACAGCCTATTTCAAGCAAGACAGATGCAGAGGCCATGAAGCCAGGGACATGGGCAATAGGTCCCAAAGCTGTCAACAGTTGGCAGCAAGCACATGTGAGAAGGAGAGGACCAACCCTCCCAGGCAACTCAGTGTATGAAGACTCTGTTTTCTAAATCTTTGGAGACATTGCACATGACAAGATGGACAATTCTGGGCACTCTGTACTAAAAAGAAGCAGCCCTCCCACCACAGCCTATTGCAGAAAGGGACAAGAACAGCAAAGGATCACAGAACAGCCAGAAGGAACAGACCTGTGTAATCCGATAGATTTGGGAAGAGCCAGGACAGCCTTGGATATGAGTTTTCACCAGTTCCTGAAGGAAGAAATTAGAACCTTATTTCAGAAATTGAAGTGTGAGCTGTGCAATTCTCCTCCAGTCCCATGTTAATCTTTACATTACAGTACTTGACAACCCCTTCTCCCAGGAATCAATGCAGACCTGCACCCCTGGCCTCAGTCAGGCCATCTCACTATGTCATCCATGAGCCACTCAGTAACTAGTGATTGTTTGTCTTGTCAACCACAGCCACAGCAAACTTGTTTTAGTCTCCAGAGCTACTCCAAACTGGTGGCCTTACTGGACTCCCCACCCCACTTCACACGCACTCTCCTTCTGCAGGCCTGTTCACTCTGCCTTGTGGGGTTTAACACCAGGGGTTTCAGCAACTGATTTTCCTTCACTTCCTCTACTTCTAGGTATTCTTCTTTTTGTATCTTCATTTCTGTATATATTTACCTATTTCTGCCTCAAGTCTCTGTCTTTTCCATGAGTTTATCTGGGAATGTACAGGGTTTAGAGGATGGGCTGTGGGTTCAGAAGGCCTGGGTTCATCCTGCTCATTCAACCCCAAGCCAACTGCATACATGGTCTCTCTAGATTTCAGTCTCTTTTTCTGCAAATGAGCACATGGTGATACTTCCACCCAAGGGCAGCAGTGAGCACTAAGACCACTTCTCTTTTCTTCTTAGCAGAAGAGAATCAGTTTTTATCTATTTGTAATCACCTTGTTCAATGCTCAGTTGAATATTACAGTTCTCTGCACTCTCATCTCCAACACTTGCTTGAGGAAAAATTTTCTTTAGGATCACTGAAGAGAGAGAGAAAAGAAGTTAGAAATCTCCATCAGAGTGCAGGGACATCAAGTGGGCATGTTTAGGAATTTTCAGCCTCTGGTCACTGAGAACTCAGTGAGTCCCAGTCCTCATGGTCAAGTTCCACACCATCCCTGGTACAGAAAAGAGAACCCCAACAAAGAACCCCCACACAGAAAGGAGTCACTCCAATGTCAGGATAAAGGAGTCATGCAAAACGTTGAAAGCTTGCTATGTATGTAAAAAAAATTGCAGATGGCTGGAAAAGCATGTGTGAAATAAAAAGTGGAAGTGAAGTGTGTTTTCTGACCTCTTCGACCTGTAAGGAGAATGCAAGAATTTCCTCGCGAGAAGGACAAAGATCCTGTGAGTGACTGCATGTATGAAAGTGAAAGCACAGAAACTTGAAATAAATAGGTGGTCAAGTGAAGGGTGGAGTTTACTGGGTTTACTGGTGGAGTTTTTGGGCCTTGGAGGCTGCCAAAAAGGTGAGACCAGTGCACCAGCCAAAGCTCCTGCATGTATGTGACCCAGGAAAGTAACAGGACGGAAATAAACCAAGAAGTTCAGTGTAGTATCTGGGCATTGTCCACGCAGGAGGAGACCAGAGAGGAGGTGTGTCCCCTCTTCCCTGGGATGATGGCAGGTGAATTTTCTGGAACAATGAATCTGTACTTATAAACGTATGAGCCTGTAGTATCTCTTTAATGTCCAGCAAATACATTTGAATTCCTTAGCTTTAGAATGTCCAACTTCCAAAATATTTTTCAAGTTTATCCCTTTTGTATCAAGTCGCACAAACTGTTTCTCAGTCTCTGATGGAGAGAAATCTAATTTGTCTGTGTTGCAGATACTAGGGGCCCTTTCACATTCTATACCTTTTCCCAGAGCATTTGCTCTGCTCAGTTCATATAATTCTTTCTTCTGTGAATTCTTCATTGTTATTTGGATATCTTGGTAGATACTAAACTGTGTTGAAATGAAAAATTTTCCAGCCAGTCAAAACAAAAATTATGGGAAGAACAAAATATAATGAAGGACAACTATCTGAAAATTATTGGAGGGATAGTTTGAACCACAAATTCAGAGTACAGTGAAAAATTATAAATTGTTAGTCTCAGAAAAGTGGCAAATGAATCACATTCATGTGGTATCAAACACAGTTTCTGGCAGAGAAATTGATTTTGAGAGTATTTGATTAATGTTTGTCTCACCTGTTGTAGAGAAAGAGGTAATATAACCATTACCCTTGTTTCAGGGCCAATTTGATCTGGGTTAATTTTTAAAAAATATATTTTATTAATTATGCTATTACAGTTGTCTAATTTCTCCCTGCATTCCCCTCCACCCTGCACACCCTCTCCCACCCACATTCCACCCCACTATAGTTCATGTCCATGTGTCATAAGTTCTTTAGCTTCTACATTTCCCATACTATTCTTGCCCTCCACCTGTCTAGTTTTTACCTACCATCTATGCTACTTATTTTCCATACCTTTTTCCCCTCTCTCCTCCTCCCACTACCCTGTTGCTAACCCTCCATGTAATCTCCATTTCTGTGGTTCTGTTCCTGTTCTAGTTGTTTGTTTAGTTTCTCTTTGTTTTTGTTTTAGGTGTGGTTGTTCATAATTGTGAGTTTGCTGTCATTTTACTATACATGTTTTTTATATCTTCTTTTTCTTAGATAAGTCCGTTTAATATTTCAAAAAACAAAGGCTTGGTGATGATGAACTCCTTTAACTTGACCTTATCTGAGAAGCACTTGATCTGCCCTTCCACGCTAAATGAAAGCTTTACTGGATAGAGAAATCTGGGATGTAGGTCCATGCCTCTGATGACTTGGAATACTTCTTTCCAGCCCCTTCTTGCCTGCAAGGTTTCTTTTGAGAAATCAGCTGACAGTCTGATGTGAACTCTTTTGTAGGTTACTGTCTCTTTGTCTCTTGCTGCTTCTAGAATTCTCTCCTTCATTTTTACCTTGGCTAATGTAATTATGATGTGCCTTGGTGTTTTCTTGGTGAGAATCCTCTACTTATTTTTTTGAATTCTTATTTCTTCATTTTTTTCTGTTTGTTTGTTTTTTTCTTCCTTCTGGTTCACACCCTTGATGTGAGTCCCAGTTTCCTTCCCATCACTATTGGTTCCCTGTGCATTTCCCTTTATTTCTCTTATTGTAGCCTGCATTTGTTCATCTAATCTGCCACCAAAATCAACCAATTCTGTGAGCATCCTGATTACAAGTGCTTTGAACTGTGCATCTGATAGGTTGGCTATCTCTTGGTGGCTTAAAAAAAACTGGCTCTGGGCCTTTTGAATTCTGTTTGAGTCATCTTTTTTATTTTATTTTTTTCCTTTGGTCTGCTTGTGCCTGTTACTAATGAGGGGCAGAGCCTTAGGTGTTCACCAGGGCAGGGCAGCCCAGTTGCTGGGTAGTGACCTTGTGTGTGGGGGTGTGGTCCGAGAGGGAACAAAGGTGCTTTATCGGCTCTCCTAGGGACCTCAGTCTCTTCTGCTGCTTCCCCCAGCAAACTGGGTCCCTCTGGTGTAAGATCCCCTGTGGGTGGGGTTGTATATGCTGTGGGACCCTCCAAAGGTCCTCTCCTGAGAGCCTGGGAGGCCCTCCCTGCTCCTCAATCCCCACAGATGTCCTCAATCAGTGCCCCAAGGCTCTATTTCCCAGCGCTGGCATCCTGGGGTGCGCGCAGTGCCTTGCTTCACAATCCCCACCTGGCTGGGTCTGCTGGTTGCCACCCCTCGGCAGGGGTCTGCCAGCTGCTGCTTCTGCGCCGAGGGTCCACCCACTGTGGTCGTTTCTCACAGATGCCTTACACACCCAGTCCCAATGCTCTCTGCTCTCTGAGCTGCAACCTGAGACTGGCTGCCCAACTCTGCCCCTCCTACCTGTCTGGATGAACGTCTCTATTTTCTTGGTTGTCCGACTTCCATTCAGATCAATTTTCAGTCAGTTTTGGTTCTCATTGCATTTCTAAATTTTTGTTGTCCCTATCTTGGTTGTGCAAGGAGGCATAGTGTGACTACGTATGCCTCCATCTTGGCTGGAAGAAGTGACCTGGGTTAATTTTCTTGCTCATTGCTCTGGGCACCTGATGAAGGTGGTCTCTCTTTTCTGTATTACCAGGTCAACACTGTGTTTAGGGTTAAAAATGACCCATAACTGGACTCAGATGGACTCCATAAAACTATAAACCATAGTTCATCTTCCTCCAGCATGGTGACTCTTGTAACTTGGGTGTGCCTCATGGGGTCCCTGAAAGTTATGACTACAGATTTGATACAGGAGACATTGGCTCCCCTGGTCGTGATGCTGCTAAGCCAGGTGGATCCTGCATCCAAAACTCAGCAGTCACTCAAGATGGGCAGTAGTCAACTTGGTGGATTGCTGTGTGAACACCTGCAAAAAGAGTAGCAACTGATGGTGCCTTTCTCAGATGCAGTGGTTCTTGTCATTTGTTTTTCTCAGTAAATCTGATGCGACTGTGACTCTGATTGTTCTGGGAGTTTGAATAAATGCCTAGTTAAGCAGGCCTCCACATGTGTGTTGTACTGCAGTCATTATACCAAAAATATTTAAAAAGCTCATGATATGTCTGTTTTCTAACTGCTATATTCCTAACGCCCTGCACTGTGTGTGAGACATGGTAGATGCTCAATATATATTCATCAGTAAATTGACCATGGAATTCAAAAGGTAGGCTATAAATGTAATTACCATTTCTGAAGCCTCTGAGAATGCCTTTTAAATCAGGGTACTTGTCTACAATAACCTTGCTGAACAAGATTTCCAGAAGTGACAGGTCAAATTTCTTTTCCAGTTCATTGAGAACATCATACACTACTTTTTGTACAGGTGCCTGGTTTATCCAAGATGTTTTAGACTCCTTAAAAAAACAGTGAAAGGGGAAAATGTAAATATGAGCTTGTAACTTACAGAAGAGACCTAGAAGGTGATTTCATTTTTAATGTATTATAATTTCTCTACAGTTATTTTCTCATGTACAGTTTTAGAATTTCTCTATATTCAATGGCTGCTAAGTAAAATAAGTACATCTATTTTTCTGAAAAATTCCCATTTGTGAATCTGCTCTCCCTACTGTCATTTACATTTGGTAAAAAGAAAAGCCATTTGCAGAACAAATATGGGTCCAAAGTTAAATATTGTGTAGCCCTTTAAGAGCCTGGCCACATGTTTTAACATTTGACTTAGCAGGTGATGGGCTGCTGTTCTACTGAGGAGATAGCCCTTGTCCCTTCCACAGGACCAAATTGGCCTGCAAGAGATCAGGGAAGCCAAGTGGTGATTTTCCCTTCCTGTGAACTTTGCTGAAAAGTAAACCCATTTGTAGGGAAAGAGAAGGCTTGCATCTCTGTATCTCCACTTATATCTTTTGCTAGAATTATCAAATTCCAACATTCCAGAAACACCATAGGAAAAGAAGGCTTAAAATTGTCGGAGAAAGAAGAGCAAGCATATACTTCTAAATTTCACCTAATAAGACATCCATTCTCTAATGATTTTAATGTTCTCATATCTAAATATATAAATTAATGTTCATTGGAATAAAATGCTGTGTAAATAATTACACTAAATAAGTTCATTAAATTAATGTATGCATTCATTAAAATTACCTCTCATCCCTAGTTTATGCTACATTGTATATCTAACACCTGCAAGTCATTATATTGTACACCTGAGCTGCCCATAGGCTTCAGATCCAGCCTATCTCCAGTGTTACTCACCTCGACTCTAGGGGGCACCAAAAAGTCCTGTTCCTTCAGTCAGGAGCATGACTGCCTCCAAGGATGCCTGCTTCTCTTTTTTTTTTTTTCACCTTATAGAAACACTTAGAGCAGTACTTGAGAAAGCCCTCACTTACAGGAGACCCCTCACTTGTCTATTTGTGCCCTGACATTTGATTCCAAACTACCAAAACTACTAATGTGGGACTGGTTTACCAGATCGTGACAAAATAAACTTCACTTACTTCATACATTTCCTTGGTTATGAGTCCACGGTCATAAAAAATCTCAAGGAAAGGAAATGGTGTTTTTATTGCATCTGAAATCTCAACCTTCCATTCTTTGAAGAGTTTGAAGGCAATCTCACACATAAGTTTGTAGTTTTCTGGGGACATCCTAGGGGGAAAGGACACCATGATAAAATGGTCATTGAGCTTTTGAAGTGCTGGTGGAAGGTGTAACGTTTTATATATGAAGGACAGAATGCGAAGAATCACATGAATTAAATAAGAAGTTCTGAGTAGGGACCAGAATAAATGGAATTGGTGCAATCAACAACGATATAATAGAAGGAGCATGGAGGATCAGAAAGACATGCATAGTATAAAAAATGTCCAGACTGTCCCAATTGAAGTCATTGTACACATGTCTTCTCCTAAACATATTTGGAATATTTTTTATTAAAACCTTCTATTCATCATAGTAATTGCAGATCTAGCCACAACAATGAGATAAGACAAAGAAATAAATGTCATTATAATTTTGAAAGGAAGAAGTAAAACTCTAGTTCTTGGCAGATGACATGATATTATAATAGAATACCCTAAAACCTCTACCCAATCTATTAGAACTAATAAATGACATTAATAATGCTGCAGAATACAGAACCAATATACAAAAATCTGCTTGTTTCTATATATTAATAAGAAATAATCATAAGCAGAAATTAAGAAAATAATCCCATTTACAATTGCATCAAAACATCTAAAATACCTAGGGATAAATTTAACCAAAGAGTTGAAATACTGTTACTCTGAAAACAATAACACATTGATGAAAGAAATTGAAGAAGTTACAAATAAATGGAAAAATATACTGTACTATATTCATGATTTGGAAGGATTAATACTGTTAAAATGTCCTTAGTACCTCAAGTAATATGTATATTCAGTGCAATACCTATTGAAATACATTCTTCTGGGAATTAGACTTAATCTTAATTTTTGAATGGAATCACAAAAGACCCCAAGTAGCCAAAAAAATCTCAAGAAACAAAGTGAGAAGTATCACACTCCCTGACATAAAACTACACTATACAACTGTAACAATCAAAACAGTATAGTATTGGCAAACACAAACAGATATATAGCTCAATGGACTAGAATAGATAGCCCAGAAATAAATCCTCACATATACGGCTAATTAATTTAAGAGAAAGGTATACAATGAGGTAAAGACAGTCTCTTCCATAAGTGGTGTTGACAAAACTGACAGTTACATGTATAAAAATTGAAATTTGACCACTTTCTTATACCACAGACAAAAATAAACTCAGAATAAATTAAAGACTTAACTGTTAGACTTGAAACCCTAAAACTTTTAGAAGAAAACATATGCAGTAAGCCCTTTGACATCACTCTTAGAAGTTTATTTTTGGATATATCTTTTTGAAGAAAAGAAAAACTAAATAAATGGGATTACATTAAACTAGAAATGTTTTGCACAACAAAGGAAACCACTACCAAAATGAAAAGAAACGCTACTGATATTTGCAGCTGTTCACACATTTAATAGAGGATTAACATTTAAAGTATAAAAACAACTCATTCAAGTGGACACAAAAGAAACAAAAAATTCCATAGAAAAAATGGACAGAGGACCTGAACAGACACTTCTCCAAAGAGGACATGCAAATGGCCAACAGATATATGAAAAGAGGCTCAACATCACTAGCTACCAGGGAGATGTACATTCAAAGCACAATGAGATATTACCTCACACTCCTTAGAATGGCTATCATCAATAAATCAACAGATAACAAGTGCCTACAGGATGCAGAGAAAAGGGAACTCTTGTACTTTGTTTGTGGAACTGTAAATAGGTGCAGTGACTATGAAAAACAGTATGGAGATTCCTCGTCATACAAGTAAAAACAGAGCTGCCATATGATCTGGCAATTCCACTTCTGGGCAGTTATCTGAAGAAAACAACACTAATTCATAAAGATATGTGTGCTCTTATGTTCATTGCAGCATTTCTAGTAACAGCTGAGATATGGAAGCAATCTAGACATCTATCAATAGAGAAATGGATAAAGATGTTTTATAAACACACACACACAATAGAATATTATTCAGCAATAAAAAGCATGAAATTTTGCCATTTGCAAAAACATGGATGGACCTGGAGGGTATTATACTAAGTGAATTAAGTCAGATAGGAAAAACAAATACTGCATGATATTATTTATATGTAGAGTAAAGAACCTCACAAAATAAATGAATAAACAAAGCAAAATAAAACAGAAACAGACTCATACATCCAGAGAATAAGCTAATGTTTGTCAAAGGAGAGGAGGTGAGGAGATGGGAATTTAAACAAGAAAAAATTACATTTGTATAAAAGTGGGATGGAATAACCAAATCATCACAGAGGAATAAAAAATCATAACATGGCAATAGAATTTAACCTTAAACATGTATCTTAATTAACAACTAAGAAAAAAAAATCACAGAAAGTTAAATACAAAGTTTCCCCTCACTGACCTACAATTGTTAATAAAAATACCATCCTGAATTATAAAACCAGTTTATAAATAATAAGATGTGATTTAATAATGATATGGTAAGGTGTAAATTGAATCACAAGAATAGCAATAATTTCTCCTGGGACCCCTACTTTGTGGCAAAATGTATCTGCCTGTGTTGTTGTATATAATGAATCTTTTTACATATTTGAATTCTCAGTAACATCTGCTATTTCCTGTAATAGCTGTAAACATGAATCTATAATTTTGCTTCTTAGTTGGTCATTTCATAGCTCTGATAATAATATTTCATTAACATCTTGTGTCCTAAACATTATGAAGATATATAAGCTTCCTTTTTCAAACAAGAAGAGAATTATTGGTACCTTTCAGTACCCAACATGCATCAGAGAATAATAATGTCCCATTATTGTGTCAAATTTTAATTATAAGCCCACTGTAATCAAAACAGCCTGATACTGGCATAAGAACAGACACATAGATCAATGGAACAGAATAGAGAGCCCAGAAATAAACCCAGGTTTCTATAGTCAATGAATATTTGACAAAGGGGGAAGAAGCACAAAATGGAATAAAAATAGCCTCTTTTAACAAATGGTGTTGGGAGATCTGGGTGAGTACATGAGAAAAAATGAAACTCAACCACCAATTTACACCATACAAAAAATAAAGTCAAAATGGACAAAAAACGTAAATATAAGTCATGGCACCACAAAAGTCCTAGAGGAGAACACAGGTAGGACAATAGCAGAGATTCCATGCAGCAATATTTTCATCAATGTGCCCCCTAGAACAAGGGACATAAAGGAAAGAATAAACAAATGGGACTACATCAAATTAAAAAGCTTCTGCATGGCTAAAGAAAATACCAGAAAAATGAAAAGGGAGAAAATTGAATGGAAAAATACGTTTGCCAATGATACCTTGGACAAGGTTTTGATTCCCAAAATATATAAAGAACTCACATGACCCCACTCCATGAAGATAAACAATCCAATTAAAAAATGGGCAAAAGACCTACACAGAAACTTCTCTAAGGAGGACATACAGAGGACCCAGAGACATATAAAAGGATGTTCAGCATCACCAGCCATCAGAGAGATGCAAATTAAAACCACAGTGAGATACCACTTCACACCAGCCAAAATGGCCATCATAAGCAAATCAACACACAGTGCTGGCGAAGATGTAGAGGAAAGGGAACCCTAGTGCACTGCAGGTAGGAATGCAGACTGGTGCAGCCACTGTGGAAAAGAGTATGGAACTTCCTCCAAAAACTAAATGTTGAACTGCCTTTTGACCCAGCAACCCCACTGTTGGGAGTATATCTTAAGACACCTGAAACACTGATGCAAAAGAACGTATGCACCCTTATGTTCACAGCAGTGAAATTTACAGTAACCAATTTACAATGGGTTGGAAACAGCCCAAGTGCCCATCAGCAAATGAGTGTATCAAGAAACAGTGGTACTTTTACACAACAGAATACTATGGAGCAGAAGGAAAGAACCCCACCGTTCACGACAACGTGGACGGAACTGGAGAGTATTATGCTAAGTGAAATAAGCTAGGCAGTGAAAGACAAATACCATATGATCTCAACTCTAAGTACAACCTAATCAACAAAACAAAAGAGATAGCAAAATAGAACCAGAGACACTGAAATAACGAACAAACTGACAGTACCCAGAGGGAAGTAGGGGGATAATGGGGCAAAGAAGGGGGAGGGTCAAGTCAAGGGACATGTACAAAGGGCTGAAGGACAAAGACAACAGGATGGGGGAGGATTAAATGTGGGAGGTGGTGAGTGGGTATGGCAGGGAAGAGTAATGGGGGAAAAACTGTAATTGAACAACAATAAAAATAGAAAATATTCTATTTAAAGACAGCAGATGGAAAGAAGCATTTGTCTTCTCTCTTATTAAAAATGTCACTACAGTAATAATTAAAAATCAGCTTCATAATGACAAAGAGAATGCAAGGGAGCAAATGAGAGATTTCAACCAAACTTGATAGGACAAATAGAAGAAAGAGGAGCATTTAATGCTATTGTGGGTGAAGGGTGCTGCCAGCCATCAGGAGGCAACCCTGTGCCCTGTGGAATCTTAAAGGCAGTGGAGACTGAAAGGGAGACATGGTGCTGAAAACTAAGATGTTATTTGAAAAATGAAGAACAGGGCGATGTACCCTCCACCCCTCAGCCTCCATCCTGACCAGCTGGAGCCAGGCAACCTCTCTGTGGCAAACATTAGTGTCCTTTCTGTCACCATATGCTATTGTTGTCTGTTACTGGATTTCATGCATGGACTAGTACATCATGTATGTTTTTTTTAAAGATTTTATTTATTTAATTTTTTTTTAGAGAGGGAAGGGAGGGAGGGAGAGAGAGAGACAGACAGACAGACAGACAGACATCAATGTGTGGTTGCTGGGGGCCATGGCCCGCAACCCAGGCATGTGCCCTGACTGGGAATCGAACCTGCGACACTTTGGTTCGCAGCCCAAGCTCAATCCACTGAGCTACACCAGCCAGGGCACATCATGTATATTTTTGCGTCTGACATCTTTTGCTCATCATGCATGCTGTAGTGGGATTGGAAATTCGTTTCTTGTATTGTTCAGTGGTATT